CTTTAAACTGATGAGATGTAGATGTTTAGCTGTGTACACACAGGCTCATTCAGCTACATTCACACACAAAGTCCTAGTAACAATGCAGCACCTGGGATCCCTCATTCACCTAGGAGATCCTAATAAAGTAATGGGATAAACAAAGCAAAGCTTTAATAAGCTTTAGAAAATCAATACTGTGAAACATAGGTGAAGAGGATTCTGCTGGTAAGCCATAGAGTACTGTGTGCTCAAAACATTCCGCTTAAAAGATGGTCAAAATACCATCCAAAGTGCAACAAAAGTAACTACTGGCTGTCTAACCCAACAGATCGAATCATTCTTTCTACATCATGGCAAGCTTCTGTGTCTTAATGTTCTTACACATGAAATGATTATCTAATCCAGTGAATTGGTCTCATTTATCAACTGGAACAAGGAGACTGCACTAGACACCCCAAGCTGTCCATTCTTAAATAAAAACCAGTGTTCAGCCATGTTCAATATTTCAAACTGATGGGTACAGTTTTAAAGTGATGGCACTGTATCTGCTGTGCTCTCCCTCACCTTCACTGCCATATGCATGCTTGGTGGCCGATCCAAGCCGGTTAGACCATGTGAAAAAAAGCAAAACAGTTGTGCAGCATCTAAATGTCTGGCCACCGTGTGAAGTCTATGGCCAGATTAAACAATTCATGATTAAAGGTGGCCATACACTTTACAACCATCGCAAGACCTTAGTCTTGCGATGGTTGTAAAGTAATTTAAAAAACATACTGTAATTGGGGAGACACTGGGTAGTAGTGATCACAATGTGATTACTTTCAATATTAAATACAGGAAAGGAAAGAGGGCGGGACAGACAAGAACCCTTAATTTCAGAAGAGCAAACTTCGATAAGTTGCGCAAACTAGTGGGGGAAATAAAATGGGATAACTCATTTTACAACCTAAACTCAGACCAAATGTGGGACTGCTTCAGGAACACATTACATATTGCCATTTCAAAGTGTATACCATTGGGTAACAAAAACAAAAGATCAAAGACTAAACCGATATGGCTAAATAAAACTGTAAAACTGCATGTTAAGGCAAAGAGAATGGCATTTATAAAATATAAGATGGAAGGGACTGGATTGGCGTTCATTAAATACAAGGAATGTAACAAAAAATGCAAACTAGTAATCCGGGAAGCTAAAATAGAATGCGAAAAGCATATCGCCGCAGATAGTAAAAAAAAAAACCTAAAAAATTCTACCAATATATTAACAGTAAAAAGGTAAGAAAGGAGCAGATAGGCCCAATAAAGGACGAAAACGGGAAGTTACTCACAAGTGACAAGGAGAGGGCCG